ACCTAGTGGGTGGCCAAAAATCAGAAGTTTGATAGCATTTTTTCAGACTAATAAATCTTATTGAAAAGCATATACTTTTGTGAACTGGAATAAAAGGGGAGGGGAAGGCAAGATATTTATGCAGATACATGTTAAATAAATACATACACACATACATACATGTTATATGTGAGGCAGATTAGAACTAACTTCTCATTTAACAATTGTAATGTATTAAACACTCACCATGTTTGTTAAAACTTTCTGAGAGTGCCTAAAACCTTTTGATGTATTTAAATTAGGCAATCTCTCCTTTGACTGTGCTGGTAAAATTTCTTTATTATTTGCTAATTTGTTCCAAATAATCTGTAATGGAATATCCTGGAAGTCACAATGCTCTGATGTTGCTTTCTCGTTGTTTTGAATCCTGATGTCAAATTTGTGTCCATTCTTTTGACAAAATCTGGCCTGTTAGTCCTGCTAGAACCCAGAGGGGCATTGCTGGCATATATTATGTTAGAGGAAGAACACGTGAAGGCGCCTTTAATCTTGTGTATCAAGTTATTGGGGCCTGTGATGGTGCCATTGATGTAAATGTTGAGGCTTCTTGTTGCTTGTGAGATTTCATTACAGGAGATCTTCAAACAGAAAGGCTGAACAGCTGTCTCTTCTCTCTGCATCCAACAGAATGGTCGGTGGGCTACATAGCCTACAGGTCCATTTTAAACACTATGATTTCCTGTCCCTCTTTGTCTTTTCTTCTTCAAACAACAGTGGCACTTCTTTATTTATTACCCACCCTTCCCTCTGTGATGCTTGGGAAAATTGGTCTCTTCCTTTGCTCCATTTTATTAACCTTACTACCTCAGTTTATTATCTTAACCACCCTGCCCCATGGGTTAGTTGATTTGTTTTTCTCACCCTAGCACCTTCCTTCCCAATGTGCCGGATTGCAACTGGACATACTTGTCCTTTTCTTGGTACCAAACAAAAGGAGGTTTGCCACTGCTCTCTTCTGGGGTGTTTTTTTCCACTTCTCAGTCTAGCCAACAGCCCTGATATTTTCTAATTGTCTCCTGCCAAGTCTGATTCTGCTTAGATTCCAGGCCCAGACAAAGTCAGCCAGACACTGCACCTGCTGAGGCAACAATATATTTATTTATAAATATAGTTGCATTTATTATTTAAATTTATTTGCTTTTATCAGAAGTTTAGAGTGACGGTGGGAAATTGCCATATTCAAAGACCAGTCTTCCCAACCAAGCATCTTCAAGCTATACTGAGAATGCAACCCACTGGAAACAGAAATCAGGTTTAAGAGGTCCAGTGGGCACTAGGCTGAATAAAATGGACTGTTAAATAGATGAGCTTTGACTGGCCACAGCTGTCCAGGAGACATTCTGGACCCTATCTGAAGATACCAGATGCCGTACATGGATCCTTGTCATACAAAGTATATTAATCTACAATTGGGATATGACTTCCTCACACAAAGCACTGCTAAGAAATAGTGTCATGTAGTGTTTAAGGCACTAGCCTACGACTAGGGAGACCCAGATTCATATCTACCATTTGTCATGGAAGCTCACTGGATGACTTCAGCCCAGTCACATTCTCTCAGCTCAAGATACTTCACAGTTTTGTTCTTGTGGTAAAAAATGGGAACAGAGAGTGCAATGTACACCATCATGAATTCCTGAAGGATGGAGCTAACAAATAGCAAGTATAATGGATTCCCGCAATATGGTTTCCTTTTCAAGGGAGAGAAAGGCTAATGTTAATGACTATGGCTAGTCACCTGAATGGCCAATATGTTTTTAAGAGAGACTCTAAACTAATCATCTCCAACCAATATTTTTCTGCACCACATTGCACCAGCAACTAACTACTGTACCCGGATTGGATTTGTGCAAATATGCAAAAGGCCATAGGCTAGCTAGTGTGTGGTTCAGTATGTCATTCAAACTCAGCTTCAGGTGTAATTTATCTTCAGAGGAAAAAGGCTGTGTCCTGGACTAGCATACACACTGGAAGATGCCAGTATCTATAAACATACATGACAATTTGCATCAAAAGTATTTTACCTTTACAACATTCTCTATATTTGTATATGATCACAGCTGCAAGATTATTATATGCTCAAAGATGGAAAGATCCACAAATACCTACAGTGGAGGCATGGATTATTAAATTAACGGATTTGGCTCAAATGGCGAAGTTAACAGCTTTAATAAGAGATAACGCTATTTCTAATTTTGTCTCCTTATGGCAACCTCTTTTAGATTACTTGCTTGTGCGGGGAAAAAATGAGGTTTTGATTGTGGTTTTAATGATTAACGGATTGTGTTGATAGTAATAATGTGAACTTGGATTAATTAGCGATAAGAGATTTTTTTTTCAACTTGTATTTATATCTGTATTGGAGATAGTCGGAAGTCACTTTCTGTTTCAATTTTCCATCTACTTTCACTATTATAGTTTTTGTCTTTTTTCTTTTAGTTCTATTTTCTATCTTTGCTGTACACTTTGTTTTGCATTTTAACTGTACTTTGAAATATAATAAAGTTCTCATTAAAAAAAAGTATTTTACCTTTACAATATTCTCTATATTTGCAAACTCAGTCAATGTTATTTGCATGCATAACCCATAACAGAAGAGAATATATGTAGCTCAGGGTTGAACTGTGGAGTCCTTGGGGTTCTCTGAGC